GTAAAATTTGACACATGATATTTCTTGGCTGCTTTCACAGAATTAAGTTCCCAAAACAAATAGAATACTTCATAGTTTAATAGATTTTTTTAAATAATTTTCATTAATGTCTCCTTCATCATGAGACGAGCACTAATGTTTGGACTCATCAGGTTGCTGGTGGAGTTTCCAGCCACCGGAGGAGCCGTGACCTCCTGGCACTTCCAGACGGTGCGGCTGATCCGATACGTGTCCAGCTGGGACTACTTCGTCTGTGTGTGTGAGGTGGCCTTCTGCCTCTTCATCCTCTACTATGTGGTGGAGGAGGTTCTGGAAATCCATATCCACCGGCTGCACTACTTCAAAAGCATGTGGAACTGTCTAGATGTTCTGATCGTTGTGGTGTGTATCAAGGCTGCTTTCTGTGATTGAAAATAACATTTAAAGAATTGCAGTGTTTGATTATTCTGCTGAAGATTCTCAGTCATCCTGGACTTTGTTTCCAAGATTGAAGATGTTTCGCTTCCCTTCCAGGAAGCTTTTTCAGTTCAAAATGTCATAATTAGTGTTGAGTTTGAGGCTTTATTGAGTGGACCAAAAACAAAGCCTTGTTTTGGCTTAGAAAATTTATCACGGGTATTGGAGGCTAACAAATACCCCGAAGGACCTCCATTTCTAAGGGGTGGACCCTTTTGTCTGGTTCAATTTGCATGTTTTCGAAGCCAAAACATTCTTTGTTTTTGGTTCACTCTATAAAGCCTTGAATTCAACGCTACTTCTGACATTTTGAATTGAAAAAGCTTCCTGGATGGGAATTGAAACGTCTTCAAACTTGGAAAAAAGTTCCGTTGGTTTTTTTTTTTTTACTTTTTTGGAGAGCTTAATTATATTTCCTTTTTTAATTCCTCTTTTTACAGTTTAGTGTTGTCGCCATTATAATGAACATAACCAGAACAGCCATGGCTCGAAATCTGCTCGGTGGGCTGTTGGAGAACTACTCGGCTCACCCCAGCTTCGAGGCTCTGGCCAACCTCCAGGTCCAGTTCAACAACATGGCCGCGGTTATTGTCTTTTTCTCCTGGGTCAAGGTACGTGTCCTCATACCGTAGTTCGGTAGTTCTTTAAAGTATCATCTCGTAACATGTGGCTTCCCTTCACCAGCTGTTTAAGTTCATCAACTTCAACAAAACCATGAGCCAGCTGTCCACCACCATGTCCCGCTGTGCCAAAGACCTTGTGGGCTTCGCCATCATGTTCTTCATCATCTTCCTGGCATACGCTCAGCTCGCCTACTTGGTGTTTGGAACTCAAGTTGATGATTTCAGCACCTTCCAAGCCAGCGTGTAATTAGTTTTTTCTCATCCTTCCAGTTGCGTTTCACAGCGATTTCTGTTTTAACACGTATGTCCAACGTTTCATTGTTTTTTTTGTAGGTTCACCCAGTTCCGCATCATTCTGGGCGACTTTGACTTCTCAGAGATCGAGGAGGCAAACCCAGTCCTTGGACCGGTTTATTTTACTACGTTTGTCTTCTTTATATTCTTTATATTAATGGTGAGTTCAGATTAAACGTGATATAAAAACAGAAACACGTTTGAAAAAGAATCCTGTTAAGGCAAATTGTTTGACATTTTGATCTGTCCGTACAGAACATGTTCCTGGCTATAATCAATGACACATACTCTGAGGTGAAGGCTGATATGTCCCAGCAGAGGTCTGAGATGGAAATGACGGACCTCATCAAGAAGGTAACAAACTGGCACACCGTTACCTTTCTGACATATTTTTTCCTGATTTTTTTTAGTTTTTATCTCTTACTGGGGTTCAAACAGAAACGCTGGATCTCGTCCAAAAATATGCTGTTACATTACATGAAAATAGGATTAGTTGTATGTCGCTGTGTCAACTACATTCATGGTGTCACATATCAGCTATGTGAGTTTACTGCTTTTAGTGAGGTTAGGGGTTTACATTCCTGTAAAGGAAGTTTTAGGTGTTTACCATTAGGACTAGAACTAACACTGGCAATCAGTTTGACACTAGAGCCGTGGAGATAAGAGGGTTGCCCCAACCAAGTTAGGTTTCTTGGGCTTCCAATAGTTTGGTACGTTCAAAATACAGGAAAATCTGTAACACACCTAATACTTTAGGTAATTATTTCACAAAATATGCAGGATTATGAAAAGCTTACTGATTGAGAGGTTTTACTCCCTATGAAAGTTGTGTTGTTAGCCATGTGAAGTATGTTCAGTGTTTCCGCTGGTCATTAAAAATCATTAAATTCATTAAATGAAGGCCTTAATTTGCATTAAAATTTA